TATGGTGTTTGCAACAAAAATATTTCCTCACCAACAAGGTCAAAGAAGTGTCTTTTAAATTGATCTACAAATTTTATCCTATAAAACATTTTTGAAAAAGTTTCATGCTAATATTGATGTAAAATCTTCATTTTGTCAATTTCATACAGAAACTGTTTTTCATTTATTTTGGGAGTGTAATTATGCTGTACAATTTCGAAAACATATTGGCTCATTTATTAATAATAATCTACAACACGATGTTTCTGTTACTTTTTAATAAATTATTTTTGGTTATTATGAATCTGCCTCTACTAAGAGAAATGCTTGTTTTGTTATAAATTTAATTTATTTTCTTTGTAAATTCCATATTCAAAAATGCAAACTTACTTATACTAAACCATGTTTTTTTGCAAGAATTTAGTCATTATTTACATTTAATTTCATTATCTAAAAATAAGTAAGCAAACAGAACTATTTCAATTTGTAATGACTTTAATTTATATACTGCAATTGATTCTTAAATCTCTTACCCTCAAGTTTATATCATGTTTTTTCTTCTCTCTTTCTCTCTCATATCTCTTTTTCATTGACAATGTAATTCATATTCTGTATTGTAAACAAATATTGCTACAATCTTGTCAACAATTTTTTTGCAAAAAAAAAAAAAAGAATATTAACATGCAGTTGCCATAAAAAACCCTCAAGGTTGACGTCAACAGAAAGACCGCCACTCCTAACACAATAGCAAATGTTCAGATTTTCATTGAAGATTACCAAAATAAACACTTTATTTTCAGTAGATTTAATTGCACGGATTAATTATTAACATTTAAAAATAACAATGTGAGCTAGCAAATTAAACTGATTTTAAACCTCTTCCTTTTTATTTTAAAATTGAATTATTGTTACCTTCCTTCCTCTTGCTGGAAAATGTCTGTAATTCCCTCTTTATAAAGTTTCCAGGCCAGAATGACCCCAAACGTCGAGGCCACAAGAACATGCAGATCAGCGATTCTCCTCCACAATAACGATTCTAAAAGGGAAAGTAATACATTACAAATTAATCATTCAATAAGGTTATACTGTCTTTCATTTACATATTGACATCATGTTCAGTGTAATGACCACCGCTGAAAAAAAAACTTAAAGGGGATCTATTATGCCATTTCTTACAGGATGTAAAATAAGTCTCTGATATCTCTAGTATGTATGTGACATTTCAGCTTAAAAAACCCCACAAATAATGTTTAAGAACTCTTTGAAACTGATCCTATTTGGCTTTGATAGTAATTGTGGCGTCTCTTTAAATTCAAATGAGTTTGTGGTCTATTTCAAAAGAGGGCGGAGCTACAAATGCCTGTGTAAGCATAGTGGCAGATTTGAAAACAAGACTAACATCCTATATTAATCAGGGAGAGATGAGCACTAATGGGCGGGGCTTTCCCCTTCTGATGACACGTACAAAGGGAGAATGTCAATCAAAGTGTTTCTGCAGACTGTTTTTATTAAGTGTGATTAAAAAAATACAAGTAATATATGTTTACTATTAGAGGCGGGTTATATTCACAGAGTGCTGCTGACACACAGCTGTGTTTAAAACCCTTATAAAGCGATTTAAGCATAATAGGTCCCCTTTAAAACAAATAAATAACCTACCACTTGGTTTTATCGTTCACTAGATGGCAGCATTGCGTCTCTTGAAAGCTTCCTTCACTTTCTTACCTGTTATTTGTTGTTGACAGAAAATCAAAAAGCACAATACAGCTGGAATAGCATAGCCAACCTAAAGCAGAGATAAACACAAGACAATATCAGACCGCACATACATTATTCAGAGCAGAAATAAACACAAGGCAATATCAGAGAAGCAGAAATCTCTGTGATGTCTGATAAAAGTGAAGCCAGACCATCCAAAGAGCAGCATCCGGATCATTTATCTGAAAATAAAAGAAAGGTAAGGAGTTCATCAACAACAATAACGTCTCATCAACTTTTTAGTGATGACGAATGTAACGTAAAAATGTACCTGCACGTAAGTCGCCAGCGAGAAAAACACTGACATGAATAGATTACAAACTCTCCAGATGGTCTGAAAGACCGAGACGCCGTTCTTGTTCATCGTTTGTGATTTTTGTGCATTTATTCAACTGGGTTTATTCTCATCTCTCTCAACTGGACCCTCTGGACTTTATAACTGTACTGTTTTCCGGGTATGACGGACTTCGGAGTGAAGCATTATGGGAAATGAAGTTACTGTATATTTTGATCATTTATCGCGTCCTGTTTAGTCTTTGAAATAAGATATATTCATTTCATTTTCTTGTCAGCTTAGTCCCTTTATTAATCCGGGGTCGCCACAGCAGAATGAACCGCCAGCTTATCCAGCAAGTTTTTACGCAGCGGTTGCCCTTCCAGCCGCAACCCATGTCCGGGAAACATCCACACACACATTCACACACACACACTCAAACACTACGGCAATTTAGCCTACCCAATTCACCTGTACCGCATGTCTTTGGACTGTGGGGGATACCGGAGCACCCGGAGGAAACCCACGCAAAGGCAGGGAGAACATGCAAACTCCACACAGAAATGCCAACTGAGCCGAGGTTCGAACCAGCGACCTTCTTGTTGTGAGGCGACAGCACTACCTACTGCGCCACTGCCTTGCCGAATTAAGATATATGTAAAGCTAAATTTCACAAAGAATGTGATACAAGAATACATTTAACCTCAAAATAAATTGTATTTCTGTATTTATTTTGTGTTTTATTATTTTTTTTATTATGTCCTTACACTGAAAGCACTTCATCAAAGGAAATTCACTGCAAACGTCAGTCCTCCACAGCCTATGTGAAGGGTTCATTTGGAGAAATGTATTTAGATTATTATATATTTTTTCAAATATGTGTGTTTGTGTGTTCCATGTGAAGGGTTGTGCAGTGAATAGCGCTCTCGCCTCACAGCAAGAAGCTCGCTGGTTTGAGCCTCGGCTGGGTCAGTTGGCATTTATTTGTGGAGTTTGCATGTTTTTCCAGCGTTTGCTCTAAGTGCTCCAGTTTCCCTTACAAGTCCAAAGACATGCAGTACTGGTGTATTGGGTAAGCTAAATTGTCTGTAGTGTATGAGTGTGAATGAGCATGCATGGGTGTTTCCCAGTGATGGGTTGCAGCTGGAAGGGCATCCGCTGCGTAAAGTATGTGCTGGATAAGTTGGCGGTTCATTTCAGGGTGGCGACCCCTGAATAATAAAGGAACTAAGCCGAAAAGAAAATGAATGAATGTTCCATGGTGCAGGTGGCATGGCGCAGTGGTTAGCACCGTCGCCTCACAGCAAGTAGGTTGCTGGTTCAAGTTGGCATTTCTGTGTGGAGTTTGCATGCTTTCCCAGTGTTTGCGTGTTTCCTTCGGGCCCCCCAGTGGTTTCCCCCTCAATCCAAAGACATGCGCAAGTTGGCTGTTGTGTATGAGTGAGAGTGTATGGGTGTTTCCCAGAATCCAAGTACTTAATTTTCCTTCAACTTAGTCCCTTAGTCATCAGAGGCTGCCACAGTGCAATGAACCGCCAACTTATCCAGCATATGTTTTACGCAGCAGATGCCCTTCCATGCTGCAACCATCCAAATACACACTCATTTACACACGTACACTATCTATACCCACTGCACCACCGTGTCTCTAATCTCTGTGTGTGTGTGTGTGTGTGTGTGTGTGTGTGTGTGTGTATATATATATATATATATATATATATATACACACACATATATATATATATATATATATATATATATATATATATATACATATATATATATATATATATATATATATATATTTTTTTTTTTTTTTTTTTTCTAATTTATGTATTGTTTATCATTGTATCATATATCATTAATATGGTTTCGCTGTTGTGTGGAAATTGTATTGTTGATTTTGTATCTCCTCTTAATTTACTGTTAGTATGTGGTTACTTGGATATTGGAGAAAAATCGATTTATAAAGTGTTTTTTTTTTTTTAATCTAAATTTCTGTGTACTCTATATACAAAATACACACACACACATACAGCGCCCAGCATAATTGAGTTTACCCCTATTTTCAAAATGAAAATGTTTACCCATTTCTCTGTGAATAAAGGCAATGCATTTTGGTGCATTTAAACCAAACTTATTTATTAAACGGGTATATTTATTAAAATCATATTTTAGTCATCAAACAAATTGAGAAATTGAAAGATAATACAACTAAATTCAAGAAAAATATTGAAATAGTAATTACACCCTACAAAATGTCAACTAAATTGTCAAATTTTTTTTGCTTCTCTTGATTTTTCCTCTTTTTTACATTTGTATTTAATACTTTTCTATAGCATAAATTTGGCTGTACTAGTTTTGGAGTGTTATCGTAGGTTATTTTGTTAGATAAACATATACACACACACACACACACACACACACACACACACACACAAACACACACACACACACAGATTAATTATTAATAGGCAACATGGTGGCTTAGTGGTTTTGTGGATTCTGTGTGGAGTTTGCATGTTCTCCCCGTGTTGGCGTGTGCTCCAGTTTCCCCCAAAGTCCAAAGGCATGTGCTTTAGGTGAATTGGATAAAGTAAATTGGACGTAGTGTATGTGTATGAATATGGGTGTTTCCCAGTACTGGGTTGCAGCCGGAAGGGCATCCGCTGTGTAAAACAAATGCTGGATAAGCGGTTCATTCCGCTGTGGCGACCTCGGATTAATAAAGGAACTGAACTAAAGGAAATTTAATACACACACACACACACTCACACACACAATACACAACTATCCAACCATGCAGATGATCTCTCAAAATACTATTACGATAATTTAAAAAAGTTAAAAATAATAAATAACAAAATATTTAAGTATAAATATTTACAAAATTCTAATAAAAATAATATGCAATACATTTATGCAGATGGTTACCTCTCTCTCCCTCCCTCCCTCTCTCCCTCTCTCTCTCTCTCTCTGCATTGCAGCCCAGCGCTGACTGCTGCTGCTGCTGGAAGAGTCAAACCCAAATGGCGACGTCCAGCCCAAGCAGTAACCCAGCGTCAGCCTCCAACAACCCAACGCAGCTCCACCCGGCCCAGAGCCAGCACATCACCACCATGAGCAGCATGCAAGGTCAGAAACCAGCCGATCTGCACACACATACTCATACATACATAACGTACATACATACATACATATACTCTTTAAAAAAAACACACACTGACAGTTTACATACACACACACACATCATATGAGCCTCAGTGCATTTCAGTATTAGCAGCGTAGCTTTAGCAGAGTTAGCATCACGTATATCGTACTGGCTATTAAGCAGTATGTTTTAAGCTGCTTACATATTTTAGCTGTTAATATGTGTGGGTTTTAATTGTAATTTTTAGTGTCATGTTAGCCACTCGGCTAGCTGCTGTAACAGTCTGACTGAAGGCCCATGAATATTTAATTTTCCCTGCGATATATGTGCATTATTTAATACGTAAATAGAGTATAAATTAATATTTTTGCTTGATCATGTCGACGTGGGTGTTGTATTAAATCGTTTAATGTGTCGGTTTATTTTCTGACTGTGATTGGAGTTTGTTGACATTTTTAGCCGGAGGGGCTAACTTAACTGGCTAACGAGACGTTCTTGCTAATGTGAACTTCAGGAAAATGCCTGTGGTTTATTGGAAATAAAATGATGTTTATTAATAAATTGAAAGTCCAAGGTGTTATTTAAATTATTTGTAAAATTTATAAATAATGACCTCTGAATTCCTGAGGAAAATACACTTTTAGATGGCTACATCACTGCTAACCTGGATGACTTCTCCATCACACAAGCCAGTTGTTTTCAAGATTTTCGATTCATAGACGCACAATATTAATATTAATAGGCTTACATGTTGTTTCTTGTATGAAGAAAGACCCAAGTTATACAGTGAAAGATAATAAACATATTACAAATGTCTAATGAGTAGTTTATTTTTGGTTTATTAGTTTGCTAATTTATTTACTAGTTACTTTTATGATGTTTATTTATTTATTTATTTAAAAAAATAATTCTTATATTTACACATTTGTTTAAATCTAAATGTATTTATTTTAATCTATTAGTTATTTATAGTTATTAATTTACTTATTTAATATAACATTTATTTTAGTCTTACCTTATAAGCATTTATTTTACTCTTACCTTATATAAGCGTTTATTTTCACATGCTTTACATTATTTATATATACACATTATATTTTCCATGTACTGCTTTAGCATCTCATAGCCCACAGTTTGCAAACTCCTGCCGTGAACTTATATAAACATGTTTATGATCATAATTTAGCTGGATTTATGATGTATTCATGATTGAATTTTGGTCATTTAGATTGCTATCTACAATAGCTGGTGTTTAAGGAAGAATGTGGGCATTAACCTGTCATCAAAGTATGACTGTGAATCTCTCGCTGTATTTCACATCACATATGGATATTTATAGGCTAGTTAGTGCTAATTATAGCTTGAAATATGACCCTTTCAATGAGTCATTTTCGGACATGGCTAGTGTAGTAGTGGTTAGAGATGTGGGTTGGTAACTGGAAGGTTGCAGGTTTGCAGTGAGGTAAAGTTGGTTTTATATTCGCACATTCACTCAGTGTATTGTTCCTTTTATTGTTTACCAAAATACTTTGACTATTCGGTCTGAAAACACATTTAAGACTTCGAATCAACATTTGCAACAATGTTGTATTTTGATGGTCATTGGCTGTGAATATGATTTCACTATTTAGATTCTAAAGTATAATACTTTTCTGAGATTATATTATTAAGGAGAAAGTCTGAATGTGCACATATTCAGGTTTGAACAATAAGCAATCAGGTCTGAACTTAAATCTTTTTGTATTGTGTTAATCATAACGTTTTAAAAAAGACAGATTGTAGTATTAGTGACATTTTTGAAGGTCTTTCAGCTTTTTATTCTCAAAATACTATAGACTTTTTTATGCTATGCATTTGATTTGGACTAAAATTTGTCTCATTTGTCGTAGTGTTCTGTCCAAACTAGTGTTTCATTTTGAATCGCAGCCATAATTGTGTAGAGCGTGTTGTTACTTTATATTCAATGTTTTGGGCTTTATTTATTGACATGATCTGTGTGTGTTAGATTAAAAAATTATTTGATTAAGTTGAATGAGAACATTTGACAGCCTTCTGTACGTAGCCAATCTGCTGCATGTTTATGTCAATCTCACAAAAATCATAATTAAAAAAATGATTGTGCTGAAGTTATTTACTGTTATATATTTAAAAAAAAATGTTAGAATATGTTAAAAATAAAATATGTAAAATGCTTTGGCTGGCCCTGCCCTGTTTGTACTTGGTATTAAGATGTATTTTTTCTTTCAATCTGATCTGGAGCTGGTGATATGCACAAAAAAAAAATATATATATATATATATATATATATATAAATATATATATATATATATATATATATATATATATATATATATATATATATATATATATATATATATATATATATTTCTGTCTTTTTTCTGTCTGATATTTGATAGGTTTTATTTATTTTTAAATATATGTATATATAAATTATTTGTTAATAACAAAGCTGTGTTTTTTATTTTGTGTGTGAAATGTGTGTTTTATTTAGAATGATTTGACTCCTACTAGGGATGGGAATGGTTCACTAAATTGTTGGTTCATTTTGTATCCTGGTTATGTGATCACGGTTTTCTATTTGATTCTGTTTACATTGTAAGAAAAAAAAATCTTTTGATAACACATAATTACCACATAAGCATAAAATACATAGCCTTATAATCTAATTTTGTAAAAATTATAAGCTACCAATCACGACTGAAAAAAACATGTTTCCATTTTGTTTCTTAATTCTTATAAAGAAAACATTGAGTAATAGAGGAAAAGAGCACACCTGAAACAACAGAAGTTGATAATATGACAGGAGTAAAAGTGTCTGTCAGATGGAGCATCTGATGCTTTAAGCTACACGTGTTAACTAAATCTTACAAGTTGCTTTACCTGCCTTGATATAAAGCATGACTCATGTTTAGGACAAATTGGATTATGCACTTTTCCTGCTGCAGCTCATTTTGTGTCCTGCACTCTTTTCTTCTGATGCACTTTTACAAACTACTGTATATTGGTATAAATGGTATTGCCTAAGCCCACAAGGAATCTTCTAAATTTACTTGTGTAAATTTATATTTATTCAATTTTTAAATTAATTTCAGTAATAATATTGACTAATATGAAAATGATTTATGATTTATTTACAATGCAGTTTGAACAGTAATATTTTCAGTCTCTTAGTATATATATACATAAATCACACTGAACTTAGCTAAACTGAACTGAACTGAACTTAAACACTAAAACCTGAACCACACTGTTCCAGTTACTATGACCATTTATGTGAAGCTGCTTTGACACAATCTACATTGTAAAAGCGCTATACAAATAAAGCTAAATTGAATTGAATTGAATTATATGAGACACTTGCTTTGTTTACCAAATAAGTGGATCTGATTGTATTTGCATTGTAAACATTAAATACAAGTTAAAAATATATTATTTTTTATTTCATATCTTAAGGTTTTTGTTATGATACTCCCAAAATCATTCATAAATCTACAGATTTTTTACAAAATTCTGCACAGAAATAGCCAAAAAATGTCTGCAGATTCTGTCTGGCCCTACTCATAGCATTTTGTTAAAGTATAGATATTAGGGTTGCACAATATATTGTTTCAGCATTGATATCACAATGTGTGAATCCGCAATAGTCACATCACTGAATCAGAAGTGTCTAGTTGGGAAAACAGTTGACCAGTCATTTAAAATGTTAACCTTAGAGTGAATAATAATACACTAGGGTTGCTCAATATATTGGTTCAGCATTGATATCGCAATGTCATATTCACAATAGTCAAATCGTAGTATACACATTGTAGAGTCTAAGTAATAAATGAAAATACGTTTTTGGTTGTAAAAGCGCCATCTACTGGTAGTTCTCTAAATAGCCATAGGTCAGAGTTTTCACCAGAGAAGGAGTAACTCTGAAAACGATTATTGATTTTGATAATTTTTATGTTATTCAGGTTACTTTTTCCATGACTGTTGTTCATTTTAGGTAGTTTTAGTTTTTCATTTACTGCAAATTTTTACAATTTTATTTCAGTGAACAAAAATGTTTTTTGACCAACAGCAGGGTTCAACGCTAAGGATTTTTTCTAGTGGCCCGATCGGACCAGTGGTTCAGATTTTTACTTGCCCTGACAATATTTTCACTGGCCCTACCAAAAAAAGTTTAAAGCTTTTTATTAGCCACAAGTATAAAAATGTGTCAAAATGTTTGTAAATCTAGAATTTCAATATTTGTTAATAATAGATAATGAACAAAATTCAAAGTGTTTTGCAAACAAAAGTAGCAAAATGTGCAGGTATTTTATTGCAAAACACAAGATAGCTGACCTGCCAAACTGATGGCAAACTGTACAAAACACTTCATTTTTTTTTGTCGTGGTGTACCCTTGTAAATGTCTGCTTCCAAGACATTAGAAACAAAGGTTTTCCTTTAGCATCATCACTTAATATTGCCGCCATGTTGTCTCTTTGCTGTACTGGTTGTTACGGAAAAATAACATGCTCAAAACATCCAATCAGATAAGAGAAACAGAGAAGTTAGCATTCGAAGTCTTAAAAACACACACTGTTTCTCGATTCTGACTATATTTGCATGCGATTGACAAATATTTACAGACAAATTAAACTTTAGTGACAGGGCATCAGTGGCTTGATCGGACCAGTAACGATTCTGTCTACTGTCCCGAGCCTCTCTTACGCTGGCCCCGTGCCATCGGGCAGTCCTTATTGTTGAGCCCTGAACAGTTGTTTTTTATTTACTATAAACAAGGGTTGCTCAATATATGATTTCAGCATTAAAATCGCAATGTCATATTCACAATAGTCACATCGTAATATACGCAATGTAGAGTCTAAATTATAAATGAAAAGAAGTTTTTGGTTGTAAAAGCGCCATCTACTGGCGCTTCTCTAAATAGCCGTAGGTCAGAAGCTGCGTCCCAAATCGCATACTTAAGCA